ACAACAACAACAACAACAACAACAACAACAACAACAACAACAACAACAACAACAACAACAGCAATAACAACAACAACAGCAACAACAACAAGAACAACAAACCACAAACGGCGAACGGCAAAAACTACAAACAGCAAACGACAACGAACAACAACAAACAACAAGAAACAACAGCAAACAACAGCAACCAAAACAAGAACAAAAACAATAGCAGCGACGAAAATAACAACGAAAACAGCAACGGCAGGGAGAACATGAACTACAGCAAGCAAAACAAGAAAAACAACAACAACAACAACAACAACAACGATGACGACGACAACGACAACAGCAACAAGAACAGCGAGAACAGTTGCAGGAAGAGCAACTACAGTATTCAATCCGGGGATATTGCGCTCCGAACAGCTATATGCACACATAGACGCATGCGCACGCATACACCGGAGAGTTAAAAGACAGATAGAGGCGACTGCTGCAACCAATACAGAACGCAACGCATAGTGGCGTCTAGTGTATTGCATGCATGCATGCACAGTGTGCATGTAGCAGCTTCGACGTGTTGAGGTGACGCCCGTTGCTCACGTACCATGATACCCGCAGGCAGCCGCAGCTGCGGGACAGCATTAGGGTCATCAGGAGAAGAGGGCGCTGTGGTTAGATCGTGTTGCAGAAAGATGATTCTTTCTCCTGCAGATGTCTCAGCTTGTGCTATCCACGGTAGAGGCTCTGCAACTGAGTCGCATGGCATAACCTCCGGAGTTGGGGGGCTTGGAGGTGGCTCCTGCTTTACGCTGAATCTCTGTTTACGCTCTCTCCTAGGCCTCTTTGCTACTGACAAAGGCACTGAGGGCCCTTCATCCACAGTATTCGACGGCAATCTCCCGCCAAGGCCAGAGGCTCCTGCTGCAGCATCAGCTGAGCCATCGGATATGTTTTGTGGGGTTGCGGGGCCTACCGATGGCTCCTGCTCATCGCCAATTCTCCGCTTACGGCCTCTTCTAAGAATTATTGGTACTAGACGGCTTTGTAAGGGCTTTCCATGCACATTAGTTGATGGGGGACTTCCGTCCAGGCCAGAGGTTCCTGCTGCAGCATCAGCAGCTGAGCCACTTGGTACATTTTGGGGGGTTGAGGGGCCTGGAGATGCCTTCTCCATATCG